CGCTCTCGTTGGAAATGGTTAGTGTGAACTGATTGTCGTCCACAAGACATACTTCTTCTATTTCGGACGCATAATACACGTCATTAAGCAATACTGAATGACTTAACACTTTGGTCTTCTCAGCCGATGTGATTTGTATAGCACTGGGACCTACTTTTATGGCCACTTTTGTGTCTTTATGCGATAGTTTCAGAGCATTATTAAATACTTTCAGGTCTTCTTCAAGAGAAAGAGTGGCGCCGGGAAGGCGTTGCTGATCGACGTCTATGTAATCGCCGAGTCTTTGAGGTGTGTCTATAAATATAAGCTTTCGATTGCCTCTCAAAGGCATGAGAAGTCTGTCGTGATATTTAGAGTACTCGCGAACCCATGAATTACAGTTGTATATATATGTGGCCACTATTTTCTCGTAAGCGACTTCTGGCAACACTACAAACCATTTTTGCAGAAATTCAGTCTAAAACACAAACAAAGTTATATTTATTATAATAAATAGCAGTTATTTAGTTATAAAATAGTAAATATTTACTCGAAATCTGTTATCAGCGCCGGTATGCGTGAAGTCAATGACCACTTCAAATGGTTTGTGACAAAATGGTTTCAACGTTAAGATAACGTGATATATAAGTAAATCGCCATTTGTTTCGCCGATTTTATATCGTCGGCCGATATAATAAAAGACGGGATTCCCGGCCCTCGAAGTGCCCGCCATATAGAAAATGTTTAACGACTTAATAGACTTGAATTCGTCCTTTTCATGCATATTATGCTTAGACATGATTTCCTCGAATTTAGTGGACGTCATATCCATTGAATTCCATTGACTGTCACTAATAGTCTTGTGTTCGGGAGGACCTAAATATGCCAAAAGAGTTGCCATTTTGTCGAAAGGACGTCTGCCGACCGCCTTATGGTCTCTAGAACTGGAGAGATAGTCGCCGATCTTCTCCTGATGGTTCCACAACAGCCGATGCAATGCGTGAACGTTGGCATCGCTGATGAACGACAGGTTATGGCCGGCCTGATGGTCAACTGTCTCGCAATCGCTAGTGATCTGTACGACCCAACGACGACCCGCTTCAAAGTTAGACCTCAAGAAGTCATTGAACGGAAGCATGTGTTGCTCTTTACTGAATTCCACGTGATTTGCTATGTTTTGCAGTATTTTCGACATAAGCATCAGTCCTCTCTTGATCTTAGAAATGGGCTGTTTGTCAACGATTCCCATCTCATAGGGAGAGACAATCGCCGGGTTTATAAACCTGAGGAATATAACAGTCCCGACGGCACTCGTGTTGTGTGGAAAGTTAGGGAACCGTTTGTTAAGGACTTGATATAAACAGTGACACATCGATCGTAACTGCGAGGGAAAGCTGTCGGACGACAAGATTATAGCGTTAAACACGCGTTGTGTGAGAACAAGTAAGTTATGGCGATTGGCCTCCACTTCCTCCCCCTCTTCAAGCCGTGCGGAGTCCACTTCATAACTCAGATTATTTGATATCAGTTCTGTCACTAATGGCTTAATTAATGGTTCCAACAGTGCTTTCAGATAAGAAGTGCCGTATATTTTGAAACAGAAAGCCATGATCTTTGAGCCCAAACTGTTGCCACGGAATAGTGTAGTCATACAATCAGATACTTCCACCTCTTTGTAAAACATATTCCATAAAAGAGGAGACAAGAGATGTTTGGCGTCAAAGAGAGTGACGAAAACTCGGGCCAATTCATCCATTTGAGGAGTGATGACAACAGTGGCCAAAGCCATAGCGATGGGGAGTTCGCCTTTGTCTCCAATCATTGTCACCAATTGGACCAATTGCTCGTAACGGTCGGCCAACACAGTCTCGGCCAACATATCAAACTCAGTGCCCTGTTGTAGGATTTTAGTCAACACCTCCATAAAGGCGGCCCGAGTTTGCAGATCCTTATGATATCCCAACCCTATTGAGTGCATTAGTCCGGAGTCTATATTAGCGCTCAATAAGTTAGACATGGCCTGAATAGTACAGGTTCTGAGTTCACTCAGTTTACAGGCCTGTAGTCGCGCGTATCGGGAGTTCACGTCATTAGCGTTGGCCACAACTGACTCTTCGGTGGGAAGGGCTTCACTGCACTCATTCAGAAGATTCATAAATAGTGAGAAATATTTGAGAAAGAGTTGAGATTTAGCTTCCATTAGGTCTCCTCTATCGCTCTCTTCGGGCTGAAGGGGTAAACTCCTGAGCAGAGCGGCCACCGCTTGCATACAAGACTGATCCAAATCGCGCAACAGTGGAGTCAAGTCTGTAGAGCCCGGGGGTTGCATCTGATGTGAGTTACCCATAACCCAATCCGTCAGATATTCCACTAATTTGTTCCTAAACTTCATTTCTTGTCTGAAGGAGAGGTCATCCCTTCTGGTCATCATTGCCTCAACCAATTGACACACTTTGGTCTTGATGTGGATGTAGTGAACGTTATTGGAGTCGAGGTGTCGGACATAGCGAACGATGGCTAACATCATGATCTCAATGCTGGTGAGGCCCAAGTGTTCGGTCGTGTGCTCTACTTTGTTCTCAAACACACTCTTCATTATGAAAATGATGTGTTCAATGAATTGAGTGCTCGTTTCAGTCAACATCACTTGACCGGAGATGGAGTCGAAGAACTTCTCGACCAGAACTTTGATTTGATCAAAGAGTATGGGGTATAGCGTAGGACTGATCTCATGAGCCACGAGTTCTTTCACGTGTTTCTGGATTTGTGTTCCGAATTTCTCGTTGTGACAGACGAGCAGTTTAAGCACTTGACCCACAAATTGTGTGACCGGACAGTATTGGAGTGAGTCTTGAGCTGCGCTCAACATTGAGCCCTTTCGGCTCGAGTCCAACAACAAAGAGACCGCGATATTAGACTTAGCGGAGGGAGACTTGCGCTGTAAACACACGCCTCCCAAAGCGCACAGGAATCCCGTCATATTCGCCCATTCGTTGATCTGGTCTTCGAGTTCGTGATCAGTGCTCTGATGCGAAGCACGTCTTTTGCTGACCGTTCGGTGAAAGCCATCGATCTGTCCCTCAGCGACATCGAGTTTGGCCTTTGGATAACTGACCAACAGCTTAGTGGCTGCGTCCCAATTCATGAACGTGTCTTCCCAGGCCTGAGAGCACCCTTGAGTGCAATATTCAATCTTTCGTAATAAACCCATAATCCTCTTCTGAAGGGCCGCGCGACCAGTGGTCAAGATATTGCTAGAAATGGCCAATTCTTGGTACACGTGATAATTGGGCAACAGGTATGTGGCCGTCAGGTCGTCCTGACCGCACCGGATGTCTGCCTCTTCGCACAGAAGTGCAAAGCAAGACATGGCCACCAAAACCGAGTCAATATCTATAGACCATAAGTACATGAAGAAAACGACCTCGAGTTTGATGTGCGCCTGTTTGCAGATCGCTATATGAGAGCCGAGATTTGCGTACTCTTTGTGTCGCTGAAGGAATGCGTTTCTGAATTTCAACACTTCTCGCAACCACTTAAGGATTTCTGTATAGTTTAAGATCTGGTGTTGGATTAGTTTCTGTGATATGGAGAACAGGACCTGAGAGGACACGTCCCAGAATGTATTGATGGGCGCCTCCGGGTTCCACATCTCTATGTTGTCGGGCAGATGGAGGACAAGCAGTGCTTCCATGGCTTCCTGTGCGACGTCAGGCATCGACGGCTGATGAACCAGTGATACCAAACCATTGATCAGCTCTAGTGTACTGCTCTGGATCTCATGGCCTGCCTTTCCCTGATTGTTAAGCATTAGCATTGGGTTCGCGTGAATCAGACGAACCATCCATAGGAGAAGATTCTTATAACTCAATCCTTCTTCAGTGGTCTTCTCTTTGAACTTAAGAGTCGAGACCTTGTCTTTCAATGTAAAGCTCTGTAATGAGCATAATATTCAACATTAATTATTTGTCATATTTAAAACATTAACATTAAAGTGGAAACAATAACAAAGAATTTAAATATAAAGTCAATTCTTTATAAATCAATGTTTATATTAATTAAAGACTTAAGTTAAATGAGTTACAGACCTGACAGAGCTATGGATTGGTTTGAAAATGAGTGAGAAATGAATGCAAGAAAAGAGCAAATTTTCAGAATAAGTGTTAAGAAGTGTTGTGTCATAAGTGGTGTGTAATAATACCTGAATCATTTTGAGAGGGGTGTGTGTAATACAACCCTGGGTCACTTTAGTTAGAGTATCGGTAAACATGATTCTCAGCTCCGGTGCCTTACTATAGACTATGTCAATGAGTGGCCACCAAACGAGTCGAGGTTGGGTTACGATTCGATATAATGAACAGACGAGTACAAAGTGATACATCGATGGAGAGTTTGGGTTCAGACATACCTTCATAACAATTGTCAAGAAGTTTATATTACAAAAAAAATTTACATATTATTGATTACAATTAAAATGACATACTTTTAGGGCTTCGTTATTATGCGGAGTTATTCGGAAAACTGAGACAAAACAGTCAATCATTAGATCCACGTCTTGATTGATATTAGATTGACTTCTAATAAATGGCTTTGAGTTAAACAACAAAACTTTCAGATCGTTTATCACTGATTGAACCAAAGCGAAGACCACATTATTGGAGTCCAATATATTGATATAAGTGGAGGCTTTGCAGAGCTTAACGCAAGTGACTGCAGCCGCTTCTGTCAACTGCAATGATCTTGACACTCCTTGATTTCGGAAGAAGTGCAATAGTTACTTGACTGCGAAAGCCCACACAAAACCTCTTGTCCCTCGCGGTCTTAGCCGCAAGTGATAGAGAAGGTTATAAAATCCTGTTTGCACTAAAAGCATGATCTGTAGCGGCCATACAGTGGCGCGACGTTTGTTATTATTTTCGGCAAAATTGTCCAACAGTTCAAAGAGACGATCGCAACAATCGGCCAATTCTTCGTTTGGTTTTCTCTGCAATTCCATAAACTCTTGAGGATATGTGTCCATCCAATTCCAGATGGCTTTTTCCAAACTCGTCATTAGAACCAAATGAGCGCTTTTCCGAAGACTCCGGAACTAATCCAAATGAAGTGATTTGTCAGATTACTCAGCAGGCTGCAGATGTAACTACACAACATAATCGAGATACAGATATTTCAGACCTAAGAGAAGTAATAACAAACTATTGAGAACTTCGGATATTTAAATTTGTCAATTGTTTAGCCTATAGTTAGTTAATAATAAACAAGAATTTTTGTCAAACCTCGCAGATATACGACTGAAGACAGCGTTAAAGTTATTAAGACTTAACGCAAACAACACTTTTGATGCAAGAATTTTAAGTTGTGCTGCCATTGGGTTCTCATTCGGAATATCAATAAACTATTTGAAAGATTATTTCATATTAATTGTGAAATTAAGCGTTAATTTAAGCCATAAATAGTTTATACCTGACATAACTCTCTAAGCAATGCCTTAACATTCATAGCTTCGTCGAAACGTGTGGTCTCTTTAGGTTGAGAACTGAGACACTTCTCAAGAGTGTCCAAAACTATTAGTTGCGATTCGTAAAAGTTTCGCTCAAATTCCGGTTGGATTTGTCCGTGAGTTTGGGCTCTCTTTAAACCATACCATTAAATCAGTCATTATATCATTTATATATAATAATTATAATAAATATTTTATTTCAAATGATTGTTTTAAAGTCTAACGCCTTATTTAATTATCTCAATTGACATCTTCGCCAACAATTTCACTATTATTTTAATTTTAAATCATTTATTTCTTATTATGTAATGTTTTATCAAATGTTTGAACAGTAAATGTAGATATAATAACGATTCAATTGTTGCTAATAATGTAATGTAATTAATAATTGCTAAACTATTGAGTGTAAAGCTATAGCATTGGTATTCAACCCAATCTCATCTCATAATTGAGACAATCATTATGTGATAATAACTGTGACATGAAATCACTCACCATATCATTGACTGAATGCAAGATTTTAGTCAAACCGGAGATGACTAACGAGAACTTGTATTTACTTATATTAATCAATGACTCCTTGTTTTGCTCCACATTTATCCGCG